TGAAAACAACCCTTGATCTTATACAGGCACTTCCTAAGGTGTCAGCTCTTCATCCTGCCTGGCCAGGGTAGGTGAATTACTACCACCATCAGGTCTATCACCTTTCACTTCCCTTCGAAAGCTTTCATAATCAAGCATCTAATATAACCTAACAATTCTATTCTATTAATAAGACAACACACTCCTTACACTATCATATCAGAAATTTTTCTTTTTGTTGGCATGTACACATTTTAAAACTCATTTAACTTTGGTTTATACCTAGAATCAGCTAAACCTTAGCTCTGATACCATTAAATATAACAACCCCAACCCATATCCGACCTGGATACGAATCCGAGGTGTCACATTAACTTTTCCCAAAATATTTTCTCTTACAAAATCATTGAAAATTTTAAACTTTCATTAACATTAAAAATAAAATGATTTACATACAATAATTCAAAAAGTTTACAAACTTATCAGAGCGTATACAATACAAATCATTTATTTACATGCCAACTACATTTTTTATAAAAAAATATATACTATTCAAATACTTTTCTAATCTGATCTTTGGAAATGAGAAGCTAACCTGACTAGCCTATCATTGCTCATCTTCTTGCTTCTTGGAACACGCTAAGTCGTTGACTTAGTGAGGCATATAAAACTTATAAAGGGAAACTTGAATGCGTAACAATACCAGAACATTTTATATCATCCTACATACAAAATCATATAATATTACATATAACAAAATGTATACATACACATATGTTATCATTATCAATATTATTTTCATTAATACCATTTATCATGTAATATTGTACTTATCATTTATACAATTCATATAACACATTTCACCCAGAAACACACATAACAATCACACAATGTTTATTATGTTATGTCTTTTATTTGTCCATGGTACACTTGTGAGAACTAAAGATATGTGAGTACATTGAGATTGTGCACAAATGCTGTCACCACAACTCGTATAAATTTCCACTGAGTGGCATATAAAATTGTCCCGAAGGACCACGTAAAAATGTCTCGAAGGACCACATATATGTCCCAAATGACCACGTAGAACCCTCGACTCTTGGCATACCAACTATACCCCTAGCTCTCTTATCACGTAACATGGGCATTGTCATTTATCATAATTCTTATAAGTCATTTCACATAGGCATATAATCTCATAGCTTCTTATCACATAGCTCCTGTAACATTTTCGTATAGTCTCATACCTTATTTCACTTTCTATTGTTATCACATTTTCACATAGACATATAATCACATAATTCCTTGACACGTAGCTTATATCACATGTTAATATAATCAATTATATCTTATCGTATAGCTTATGCCACATTATCCTATTGTCGCATAAATCAAATCACATAACTAATATATTGTTCTCACATCTTCATATAAATCATATAACATGTAACTCCTCATCACATAGTTTAGTTTATACCACAGTTTCATATATGTACACAATTCAGTTTTACATATCTTATATCGCTGGTTCATATAATAGTTTTATGTTAACCTCACATAGCTTATTTTACTTTTTCACTTATTAATATAATTTCATTATACCAATTCCTATAAATTATTACACAATCATGTACTCATTTTCATATAGTCCATATATCAATGCCATATAACTTATATCCTAGTTTCACATAATCACTATATCACATTTCTTATATATTAATTTCCTATATTCTCTTAGTTCAGTTTCACATAGCTTGTCACATAGACATATTCTCATAACTTATTATCACCTAGTTCCTATAACATTCTAATATGATTTCTTGGATCTTTGTACTATACCTCATACCACATAGGAATCTAACAAGTTTTAGATCATAGTTTCATTTAAACAAATAGACCTCCTTATATAGCTTATCTGACATGTTCAGATACTCATTTATGTCAATATCTCCTAACTTATATTCCGTTCTCATATTATCATTTAGGTCAACCCTACCTAGTTTATCTCACTTTTCATTTAATCACCTAAATCTAATTCATATAATTCATATATTGTTATCATGTAATTACCTATATCCTTATCACATAAATTAACATATAACACATAGTTACCACACATACATGTATTCATACAATTACTATATAGCACATACAATAACATATGACAACTATGGCTCTATTCATGTACTCATGCATATATAATAATCATATCAAGCACATACTAATATTCATAAATTCATGCAATCAAACCTTGGAAATAAACTCATCGCGAGTCTTATTTCCATACCACCATATACACAATAGCATGCACTCAACTTAGCCTAACTAGTCCCAGCAATACATTTATCTCTTTCTTGATCAATCTTATCTTGTTGACTCATCTGGTACTTGCTTTCGTTCGATATCTACACGATACATATAATCGATATGAATATCTTAATTCTAATTACTTATAACCAATCATCATAAATTAAGCTAAAATAAATACTTAATTTATCATTTCATGCTCAATAGTATCGGTACTCCCTCTACAGTACCGATACTTTCCTTATATGGTATCAATACCTCCCTTCGGTACCATACCATTTTAATGTTCTGGAGAATTATCTTGGAAATGGTATTGATACTATACCCTTGGTATCAATACTATACTCCTTACTCAGTATCGATACCTTATTCAACCAGTATCAATATTACCCTTTGAATTCAACTGATTTTGCCTTGAAGTATCGATACTGTTCTTCCAGTACCGATACTCCATGCCCAGAATTGCCATTTCCATTCCATAAATCAACCAAAACTCACATAATTCTTCTTCTATAACCTCCTTTTAACCCTTTAAGATTAACTACACTTATTCAAATCAACTTATATCATTTTAACTCATCCTGATATCCAATATCCCACATACTCACTTGAATTCAATAATCATATCAATTTATCAACATGTTCCAAATTCATTTCTAAGACTTTGAATTTCTTATTTCAGCTTATGAAAAGTCAAATTTAGCCTCAAAATTCATTTACAACATCTTTATTAACAATTCACTTAAAAACTCTTTATATTTAATCTTTCATAACTTATCCACCTTTGAGTTTTAAACCACTTTAATATTTCCTTAAGCTTTCTTAACACTCCAAAAATCAAAACTAAACTTAAAACTCAAGAAATAATCAGCTTACCAAGACTCACCTTTTAAATGGAGCTCACTGCAATGAGGGAGAAGATAACAATGGTTTCCAAACTTTTCTTTTACCCTTTATTCCTTTATCCACGTGAATAAATCCCTTATAAAGGGAATATAAAAATATTTCCTTAGAAAAGACCAATTTTCCCTTATTTCATTCAATATTTACTAAATAATCCTTCACACAATATTCCCAATAAATCCCTAAACTTTTTAATTTTCTAAAATTCATCACCAAGTTTTACATTTTAGTCACTCGCCTGATTTTTGAGATTTTACAATAATTTTCAGTGCTTGTAAGTTGAAGCGAAATTAAAGAAATTCTAGGGGTGTTAGAAGGATGAAGATAAAGAATGCGGTTGTGATCAATGATCTCAACGATTGTCAGATGCATGATCGAAAAACAAAAAAAAAAGAGAAAAAACAATGAACAAAGGACAAACGAACCAAATAAAATAGAGTAACCGTAAGACAAAAAAAGAACGGCCCAACAAATGTAGCTCAAACAACCTAGCTATCTGATACCATGTTAAGAAACTAAACCCAATTGAAAATATTACTTCATGTATTTCATCATCATAATAATGTTTACATACTACACTATTTTATATAATACAAAGTAATAAGAATAATATGTAACTAATTGATTACTAACTATTATAACTAATTATAAAATGACTAGCTACATATTATCTCAACAAATAATAAATGATATTATATTTTTATGTTTTGATAATAGTATTCACATAAAAATATTAAATAAATTATTCTAATATTTTAAAAATAATAATAATAATATTTTTAATAACTAATATTATTTATTGTATTCAATATTTATAATAAATAGTTTTTAAAAAATTTACTAACCAATAAGAAATGATTTACACAACATCATTCAAATATTGTAAAATGATTTCAAGAAATTGTTTTTTCAAAAATATAATTCACTTTACAAAAATTATTTTCTAAACTATATTTTCCGTGAAATAAACAAACCCTTAATATTTTCTAATAAGAAATGATTTTATTTTGTTAAATTATTGTACTCAGACTTAAAGGTACACAAAAAATCCGAATATCCGATTTTACGTAAAAAATATCCGAAACCGGATTTGGGAAAAACCGGTTTTTTTTAAATCGGATCGGATATTTTAAAACCGGATAGTATAACCGGTTTGGGAAAAAATTGGACGACCGGATTTTTTACCGGATTAAAAAACGGTTTGAAAAAAACCGGATAAAAAACCAATTTTTTATCCGGAAAAAAATCCGGTCTGGGTTTAAAAAATTGGATGACCGGATTTTTTACCGGATTAAAAACCAGTTTTTTCAAACCGAAATCGGTTACACCGGTTACATCATCCGACCCTCCAAACCGGTTACATCATCCGACTCTCCAAACCGGTTATAATCCGAACCAGTTTTTTTATAAACCAATTTTTTGACTTGGTGAAAAAACCGGATCGATTTTTATCCGATCCGGATCAGATTTAAATACAGCTATGTGCATCTCTACTTAGACTAATGTTAAATAGTTTGCATATAAACAAAATCCATTTAATGGGGAAACAAACTGATTATTTTATCTTTTAAAAAATATTATTAATCTCAATATATACTCAAAGTCGAGAATAAAATATAAAAATATATTAAATATTTATAAGATAGGACACCGTATAAATTCGGTGGCGTAGTGGAGGCATTAACGCCTCGTCCCTTCGGTGATGCTTCTGTATTTTCAAAGGCATAAATTTCCTTCCACGTGTCTCAAAAAATATACATAAATAACTCCATTATTGGGAAGAATTTCTCTCTCACTTGACTCAGAAAAATTCAAAATAATGTCTTCAATCTTAGCCTTGGCGTTGGTTCTCATTGGAACGCTATGTTCCTTCTTCTACATCTTTCGCACCACCGTATTCCGCCAAAACCACGACAAAAATGGCCGGAAACTGCCACCGGGTCCCCGCGCCCTACCGATAATCGGCAACCTCCATATGCTAGGAAAGCTTCCACACCAAAGCCTTCATCATCTAGCCAAAAGATACGGCCCCATAATGTCACTAAGGCTAGGCTCTGTACCAACAATCGTGGTGTCATCACCTGCTGCAGCAGAACTATTCCTCAAAACCCATGACCTTGTTTTCTCTAGCAGGCCTAAAATGCAAGCTTCAGAATACTTGTCTTATGGTTCCAAGGGCATGGTTTTTACCCAGTACGGTTCCTATTGGCGAACTGTTCGGAAATGGTGTACTTTGCATCTCCTTAGTGCTTCAAAAGTTGAAGAATTTACCCCAGTAAGGAAGGCGCATCTACGGTCATTGGTTGAATCCGTAAAGAAGTCAGCGGTGGCGGGCGAGGTGGTGGACCTTACCAGAAAGGTCGGCGAGCTTATCGAAGATACCATGTGTCTGATGATTTTCGGGCAAGATAAGGATGATGGGTTCAACCTGAGGTCCCTAATTGATCAAACCATGCATCTCCATGGACTCTTCAATATTTCAGATTTTATTCCTTATCTTGCTCCACTTGACCTTCAGGTTTGTCTCTTCCTTTCCCAAACAATGGTGAATTCTTGGTGATGATGAATATTAACTCAGGTTGATGACTATCCCCCTTCTATATCGTACATCCTCAGGGAATAGGACGAAGGCTTCGGAGGACGAGTAAGTTGCTTGATGCAGTGTTCGAGAAAATAATTGATGAACATGTGCAAGGAACCGATCCCAATAGTCTAAAACCTCACAAAGATTTCGTTGATATGATGATTTTCATGTTGAATCAACCAATGAACCCTCACGACGAAGAGCAACCCTACATAATTGAAAGAAACAACGTCAAGGCTATATTATTGGATATGACTGCTGCTTCATTTGATACTTCAGCTATCGTCATAGTGTGGGCATTTTCAGAAATTCTAAGGCATCGTCGAGTGATGATTCGTCTCCAACAAGAGTTGGAGGCCGTGGTTGGAAGGAATAGACTTGTTGAAGAATCAGATCTATCAAAATTGTTGTATTTAGATATGGTTGTGAAAGAAAGTACGAGGTTACATCCAGTTGCTCCGTTCTTAGTTCCACGCGAGTCCATGGAAGATGTTATTGTTGATGGATATTTCATACCTAAGAAATCGAGAATCTTGGTGAATACTTGGTCGATGGCTCGAGCCCGGAGTATATGGTCGGAAAATGCTGAAGAATTCTTGCCGGAAAGATTCATTGGTAGTAACATTGATCTCCGAGGACATGATTTTGAACTCATTCCGTTCGGATCAGGTCGTAGAGGATGCCCTGGAATGCAATTAGCCTTGATCACAGTGCGTCTAGTTCTAGCTCAACTAATCCATTGCTTTGACTGGGAATTGCCTGATGGGATGCAGCCTAATGAACTGGACATGAGCGAAATCTTTGGCCTCTCATTGCCAAGGGATAATCATTTACTGGCAAAGCCAACTTATCGTCTACTTGAATAAAGCAATGTGAAATAAGCTTTAATATTTATTTTCAAATAAATTAAATTGTAATGGAAAAGCTTTAATATTTTTAATTTTAATTTTCCTACCATCAAAATTATATATATTTTACTAATAATCAGTTGGTCCAATAAGATGAGGAACAAAATCCCTTAAGCATGGTTAGAAATTTAAATTCTAACGTTTGTGAATGGAGCAAATTGAATTGAGAGAGTCGTCTTCATCTCTGTAATACCCGATCCGAATTAATCGATCAATAGATCGGATACCAGTTATTATACCAATAAATTTACATATATTTTAGCGAAGGACATAATACAACTGGTTTATGAGTAATCAAAATTTTTCTCCGGATCAGTTACATGACTCCTTAATAGAGGTGGGAATAGGCCAGACCAGGCCAGGTTTTAATAGGCATGAGCCTAGCCTACGATGAATTTTGTAAGCCTGAATTTGGCCTGGAGCCTGTCAAAGGCTTTTATTTTGGCTCGGCCTGGCTTTTTTAAAAGTCTGGTCTGTTTAAAAGTCTGTTTAAAAGCTTATTTCACAATAAATATTTAATATTCATTTAATAGTTATTTTTACCAAAAAGTTAAACAAACCCTTAATATATAATTTTGTTTAATTTTTAATCTAACGTTAATTTAGTTGAACACATATATATTGATAATGAATATATAATAAAAAAATGAATGAAGCAATGGTGGGAGACCCGCTCGTGAGAGATGATTGGAGTGGGAGAGATTGAAGAGATAAAGAAATCGGGGAGAGGGGGTTTGTTTAGTTTTAGGTTTATATATTATATTTAGGCTTAATTAACTTCTAGACCTTATAATTTAGCCAAATATTTCCAGTTTAGTCATTAATTTTAGAGTTACAAAATAATCACTCTAAATAGACCGACCTATCAGGCTTATGAGGCTTTTTAATAAGCCTAAACCTGACCTATTTAATTTAATAGACTTTTAAAAAAACTCAAACCTAGCCTTTTTATTAAATAGGCCAGACCATGCCAGACTTTATATAGACTAGGCCGTAGGCCCCTGTAGGCCGACCTGGCCTATTTTCACCCCTACTCCTTAATTTGTTTTTTTTGAAGCAATCATGTAACTGTTTACCTCTTTTCTTTACATTTTAGCTTTTATTTTTTTTTTCTAAAACAGAATCAAGCTTTTTATTCGCACAGCAAAAATAAATTAGAATATTCGCCGAATGACAAAATATACAAATTATTGCTTCAAAGAAATAAAAAGGTAAGAACAATTATTCGATTACACTCCAAGCAAAATAACACCTAAAACAAATGGAACACCATAAACGCACGAATATAAGCATACTTTCAAAGACGATACAACAATATTCAAATTTAGAAAACAACTAGCCAAGCCCTATTACAGACAACCAAAAATCGCAGTCGAAGCATCCTCATCGAACACAACTCTTTTGAAAATATAAAAATGCAAGGTCACAAGAAAACTTGAGAAACCAAATAACACTTGATTGAACATCTCGACTAGGAATTCATTGAATGACTCGTAATCAAACGTAAGTCAAATCCGCTAAACAAACGAGTCGAAACAAAATTAGAGAAAGAACTTCATGGCATAACAGTCACTTATTCGAAATAAAACCCACACCAAAGATTGATCATAACAGCAAAACACCAACTATTGTCCACATTTTTATAAAAAGACAGTCCCATCAAAGACATTGATTTAAGACCATGACCACCACACCATACCAGCTCCAACGAGAAACCGACGATGCAAACACTCACCAACAAGACATCACTACAAGTTTCTATAGACCATTAAATTTAATAAGTTCAAGCACCACTTCTTGTTCATCTCCCCCAATACTAAAATCGAGTTTTTTTCGCACTCTCTCAAGCTCGATTTGCTCCCTTAAAAATAACTTTCTTTTTTCCTTATCTTCTACTACACGACTATTGGACAAGCTAGTACTCACTTCATCTCTACAATCAGTGGCGTCCTCGCTACAAATGGCATCATCTCCCAAAAGATTGTCTGGCACTGTATGCTCACCGTCGACAACAGCTTTTGCTTTATCTAAAAGTAATTGAGCAACAACCGAGCCTCCCAGTTCCACATGATTACAGACCAACTGATCGACCAGATTCAGCCCATCTAATTTATCATTACCAGAGCCAGGTAATGAATTTCCCTCGATTAAGGGAAGTGCAATTGTGAGCTCTTACAGACAGCGGAAATAACCCCGTCCATTTATATTTGGATTTCAAGACGTGCACCAATAACTTATCAAAATTAGCTACAAGTTGAAATCCTAGCTTCATGAGAAAAGCCTTGTTACATAGGGCCAATTTCTTTAACTCCAATCCTCCATTTTCTATACCATGTTCCAATTTACAAGGTTGACACCGCTTTTATCATTTGTAAAGCCCCATATAAAGCTTCGAATAATCCTTTTCATATCCTCACACACGCCTTTCGGAATCCATGAGGTTTGCATGGGATAAGTAGGAATCACTTGTAAAACTACCTTAGCAAGAGTGATGCTAACCGCAAGAGAGAGAGAGTCTTAGCCGCCTAGCTCGACAGCCTATTTTTTATCTTATCGATTAAATAGGAATAGGTACATTTAGTAACTCTTTGGTGCACCAACGTGTAGTCACCATTTTTCATCCCTTACCTTACATTATTATTATTATTATTATTATTATTATTATTATATTATTATTATTATTATTATTATTACTATTACTATTATTATTACTATTACAAATCCAAACCCATTTACATACCCAATACCCAACACCCAAAACCAGGCCCAATTACAAATACACACCCGAGCCCAAACTAAAAAAACCTAGCCCAATACCTAACTAACCCTAATCCTAATATCTTCAGCCACCGCTGTCGCCACCAATGATAATCTCCACTGCCGCCACCGACAGTTGCTTCGGCCACCGTAACAGTCCCTACCAAGAAACCAACAACCCAAAGTCATCATTTCTCACCCAAAATCAGGCTCAACGGTGGCAAATCCAACAAAAAATAAGGGAAGATTAAGGCATTAAATGACCTTACCAACCCGATTGGGAGGCCATTCCCTGTCATACCCATCATCAACAACCATGCACAAAATGTCAGAATGCATATTAGGTTTAATTTTTTTTTACTTTTATCACTGTAAGATGTTGGGTATAAAACCCAAAAATCACTTGCAAAAAATATCCCTTTTTGGTATTTTTGGAAAATCAATAAAAGCCTTAAAGGTAATTTTTTTTGTAGTTTGAATATGAAAAGATTTTTTTCTTCTCAGTTCGAATATAAAATATATATATCTATATTTACGGGGGAAAAATAGAGGGAAGGGGAAACGATACCTTAGGGTCGGTTTGTCTTTGCGGCGTTCGGAGTGGAAAAAGTCAAAATGTTGGGGAGCTTTTGGGGTGATTAGGAGTAATATTTGGTGGTTTTAACCCCAGATCAAGGCTTAGGAGTGTAAATCAGAGAGAATCGTGTCGTTTGGGGGTTAGTTTATGAGTATTAGCCACCGTGTGTGGTCGTCGAAACAGCGGTCGGGACGGTGGTTGAGGGGCCGACAGGGGGTCGGTCGATAGAGAAGTAAGGGGAGGTTGAGAGTGTTTTAGATTTTTTTTTTCTGAAATGGGTTTAAAATGAAAAAAAGAGAGGAAATAAATGTGTTTTATAGGGAAAGTTAGGGGATAATCGCATTTAAGTCCCCATAGTTAGCTGTGTTTTTGCATTTTGGTCACAATGTGATATAGTCCCTTATAATTAATTTGTTAGATCTTGATTAAAATTTGTGTTTGTTTGTTTATTTCTTTTTACATTTTTTAATTGTTTGTTTGACACTTCAAAATACATGATTACTTTATATTTATATTTATTTGATTTAGTTGGCCTTTTAGAATTTGTCCATGAATTAGGGTCTTTAAACTTAAAATTTGATTTAGTAATTAGGGTTTAACCTTTTTTTTATTAGGGAACAATTAGATTCGAGTTTTTGTATAAAATGCTCGCTTACTCGAGTCGATTGTTCGAATCCCCAAATTGTTTTACTCGAGTCGATTGTTCGAATCCCCAAATTGTTAATCATTGACTAATTTTAAAACTTATTTAGTTCAACCCCTTAATTTTTAATAGTTAATTAGAACAATTATTAGAACCTTGATTTATTGACTAGTCCTTAAACTTTAAGTATGTCATCACCCATTTTATTCGGGTGGTGACATGTGGCATTTTATTTTATAATATATAGTCTATATAATATGTGGGCATAATACATATAATATAGTTCAGGCATTGAATGCATGATATCATATAGTTTTATTTTTGCATAAGATAGTTTACATATTATATAGTTGTATATTAGGTATTATAGTGTATTAAGTAATAATTACATGCTATTAGTTAATGTAGCATTGCATGTTATTAATTCATGTTGCATTGCATGTTATTCATGTTACATTAGATATTAAATAATTAGAATTATTACATTGCATATTATAAGGTTCATAAGTAGTAGTCCATGTCATTTTAATTTCGCTTGCATATTATGTTCATGTTAGTGTTAGACCATTTATTTTGGTTGTTATAAATAATAAAAAAAACCCAAAAAGAAGGTCTATTTACATTTGTTTTACATAGGCCCAACGTAAGCCCACATCATATTACAATATATACATTAAATAATAAAAACTAAGAAAACAAAAAAATGCCTAAAACTACTCCTCCAGCCGCCAATTTTGAATTTTTGATGTAATTTTGGGGGAATGTTTGTTTTGTTTTGAAAGTTAAATTGGCCCAACATTTTAGGTGCTTACATCACCTATCCAAGTGAAAGAAAACCAAACAAATTCCAACCATCGATTGTCTTGGATCCAATGGCTAGGGAGGATTCAATCCAACTGAAACAAACACAAATTTATATGGACCCTTGGACACAAAAATATATGGACCCTTGATGAGAAATTCGATCCAATGACTCACATAGTGCCATGTCATCAATCCATGGCAAAGAAGCAAAAAGCCATCTAAGCCATTGGATCCATGTTGTCTTCTCCAAAGGACCTAATCATCATCAACACGGCGTGTGACTCACGTGCCGGTTCGGTTGTATCCGCCATCGTGGCCGCCATGTCGCCACCGTCCACCATCATTTCTGGCCATTTTGAAGCATTTAAAAAATAGGAAAAAAAATAAAAACAAGGAACCTTCCCAAATCCAAGCTCATTCTAATCGATTTTGAGTGGGAACAGTTGGATTAAGGGGCAAAAAATCATCAGTATAAATAAGGAGTTTGTCATTAGCATTAAACACAAGTAATCATCCACCAACAACAAGGAAATACTCACCAATCATCAAAAGTTTGGAAGAAAGTGAGGGAAGAAGGCTTACCATCGCCGGAGGGAAGCACAACTTTTGGGTGAGTTTTATTTCTTTTTTTTGGGTTCAAATATGTGTATTTTTCGGGTTTCGAAGACACCGGTAGACGGCGACCGTTGATCGGAGTTAAAGTTGGCGATCATAGTTTGGCCGGTGTCGAGTTTTGGGTAGGCTGGGAGGTTGAAGTGGGTGGTTTCTATTGAAACCAGGATTTAGTTTAGGATGAAATCAAGAACATTTGGGATTTTGTTTTTTGGGAGTGTTCTTGGGGTTCTTGGGCTTAGAGAGGAAAAAGATTGGTTTGATACAAAAGAAACTAATTTCCGGTTGGTTTTGGTATTAATGGAGATCAAACTTGATTTTGGATGATGAACATTAGAAATTTCATGAGAAATATAAGTGTTTAATCTTTTAAAAACAAATTTTGTATGAGATTTGCTGTTTGTATATGATCTAGCATTTTTTTTATGAACAAAAGATGAACATGAAGAACAATTGATGAATTTGGAGAATTTGTTGGAATTTTCGGTTGGAGGCTAGAGAGAATTTGGAGGAGAAAATATTTTTGGAAGTGTAAAAATGAGCTTTCTTGTAATTTTTGGGTCTTATAGTGTTTAATGTTTAGGCTATTTATTCATTGAAACCCCATACATTTAGCGTGTTTTACTTATGGGATGTATATTTATATTTATTTTATTTTAGTCACTAATTGTTTGTAAATTGTACTATGAATTTTAATTGAATTCAACCTAGTCACTAATTTCTTTTCAATTGCCTTGAATCTTTTATTGAATGTGTTTAATTATTAACATCAATTATTAATTTGTGAATTTTTTTAAAACTGTCACTTGTTTAACGGTAAAATAAAACCTTTAGTTTTTTGAATGTTTTAATTTGATTACTAATATTAATTGGCCTTAGTTCTTTTAATTAAGCCTTAGATTTTAATTAAAACCTTAATTTAGGTTCCTTAATTAGAAATCAATAAGTTTTGTAATTTTCTTTTAGGATTATTTCCTTAATTATATTGATTAGAAACAAGTAAACATAAATTCATAAATTGATTACAAATAATATTCTTTTATTCTAAAATATTGAAAAGGATGGTCTTAAAATAATTAGACATTCATTTCAATATTTTTTTCGAATAAATGAATATTCTATCTAGTGATCATCCCAAAAATCGAATAAGTTCACTAATTTTAAATAAAAGGGAAGATATTTGCTCCTACGTTTAAATTGCTAAGGATAACTTGTTTGATTAACGTCAAAGGCTTGACCTTTGTTCTTTAAATCAAGAAACATCCTTATTCTTTAAAATAATAATTTACCTAATTTGTCACCTTTAATTTTTCTTTAGGGTTTAATAATTGGTTAATTCTTTAATTTTTAAAAATGACATGATTTCATTATTTCGATTAAAACATAAGAAATAATTGTCTTAATTCTGATTAGGTGTTAGTTTCTTCTTTAATTAGAAATAACAGATATTGTGCGTCTTTTCTAAAATTTTAAAATATTTTAGGGAATAAAAGTATCATTAACTAAATAAATATTCAAATTTCTTAATTTTTGATATAGGGATAAAATTGTAATTGGAGGTATTAATTTTGGGCGCTGTGGGGGTGCTAATCCTTCCCTAAGCGTAATCAACTCCCGAACCCAAAATCTATGAATCGTAGACCAAATCCTGCCATTTTAATTTTTTTATTTAAAAAGGCGTATCTCTGGTTTTCAACCCACCTAATCCCAAAGGTTGATGACGACTCCAAACTTTTTAAATCTTTTTCTAAATTTTTAAATTTATTCTGATTTTCGCCACTTCGAAAAATTCATTGCGACAAATTGTTATAGATTCAGTCTTTTTATTTAGTTTATTTACTCTAAAGTCCCTAAATTTTAGATTTTGACATTTAGGTTTCTGGTCTTTAGTTTCCTTGTACATTAGCCCTTAAACTTTTAATTAGAATTTTTAAATTAACATAATTAAACATGTTATTAATTATAACTTTCACTTTATGTTAGATTTATATCTAGACTCTTTAATTTAAGGAGTAATCTGAGTTGACCCTCACCTAAATGCTCAAGGGACCTGTAGACACCCATTTTTGTCTAGGACTTCAAGGGTCTTTATTTAGTATATATGATAATATATATATATATATATATATATAATTTTAAAAATATATAATATATAGTTTTTAAAATGGTCTTTGAATATATAAAATATAGTTTTTGAAAACATATTTCTGAAAACATATAATATATAGTTTTTAAAAAACAATTTTTGAAAGCATATAATATATAGTTTTTAAAATGGTTTTTGAAAAACATATATAATATAGTTTTTGAAAACATATAATATATAGGTTTTGAAAACAAATTATTTTGAAAACATATATTTATAGTTTTTAAAAAACGGTTTTTGAAAACATATATAATATATATAACCTTTGAAAACATATTATATTATTTTTGAAAGATAATATATATTATATAGTTTTTTAATATACACATTATGTATTATTATTATTATTATTATTTTTACTTTCCTTTTTTCTCATCTATTTTCATTTTTTATATGTGTTTAAGGTCCAAAGTCCAGCATGGGTGACAAGACGCAATCTGCCTAACCCATCAGATTGGGATTCAAGGAAGTCAAAATCAAGTGGAGGCCCAATAGAGAGGTTTCCCTGATCCAACAGACCAATCTACCAAGCAATGGACGTGACCCAAGAAACAAGCCCAAGCCACTAGGGTTTCATCATTAAGTCCAGCGCCGCACAAATGAGGGTCTTTAGATCAAGATAAAGATCAATAACCAAAATTATAAGAGAGCTAGGGTTTTTTTAAACACTAAAATATCATCACATCGTAGGCAACCTTGGACTGTTGGATCTGCAACCAATCCAACGACCAAGATCAAATCCTAGAAGGTTCCAGAAGCTCGAGAGCCACCGATAACAATGCGTGGGAACCACGCGCCGACGAGATTACCAGTCAGTCGAAACGCAAAGATTGGAGCATCTCGGACTGAATCATTCGAGATATCCGGTCAAACATGAACCATGAAATATCGGGAAACATCCCCAAAATACTAAGAAATAACCCCAAGATGCTCGAAAACCACCACCGTCGAAGGGTTATATAAGCCCCTGTAAGCCAAACAAGAGGGACAATGAAAAAAAATACCAGAGCAACCAAAAAACAACCAAGCAGTCGAAATAGCTAATCAAGAAAAGCAATCGAAACTTCAAAAAATGCAAAAACTTTTGAAGCAGCAAAAAAAATCAGAAATAAAAATATCAAGGACAAGCTACGGTCTCGGCTCGAAAAGGAAGGGAACCGCCAAAAGTCGAAAGGTCGTCATCGAACAAAGGTAAAAATTGAAACTTTAGGCGTATATCTATGCTATTTGGGGTTATTTTCCATGATTTAGGCTTAGATTTTGTGTTCACGGGGCTAGAAGGAGTGTTTTGGGTGTTTTTGGGTTTTTCGGCCACCAGAGGTGGTGACCGGGCGACAGAGAGGGTCATCGGTGAGTGATCGGTGCTAGGTTGGTTGGGGAAGATTGAGAGTGTTTTGAGAGAGGGTTTTTTGGGTGAGGTGGTATAAAATGAATTTTTTTAGGTTTTTAGGGGGTATTTATAAGGGGTCACCTTGTAATTATGAAATAATTTAATTATTTTCGCAGTCTCTACAAGTTTGATGTGCAATTCATTTTGGTTACATGTTTTAAATTTGCCTTTGAATTTTGAATTATTTCAATTTAAGCCCTGTTACATTTTTTTGGTTTTTTCCTTCCAGCTTTTAATTAACATCAAATTGACCCTTGATTTTTTTAAATTCTTTTCAATTTAGTCATTTTTTATTTTTTTTTAATTTTTTTATTTAATGTTTATTTATTTACTTTATTTCATTTTACAATTTAACATTAATCTGATTTATTTTTAGGTCAATTCTAAAATTCGTCAAAGGTAAGTAGTCTGGATCGAATTTTTAAATTTAATTTTAACTTTTAATTTTTGCAATTAAGTCAACTGAGAAATCAAATTGGTACCGAAAGGGCAGTACAAGGATGCTAATCCTTTCTCGACTGTAATCGACTCCCGAATTTGTTTAATTTCTGGTAAAACGAAGATATACAAATGATAAGATAAAGTGTCCGATCAACCTTATTTAAATGACTGGTGGCGGCTCTAACACATGAAAATTAAGTTGAAACCCAATTCTGGGCCCACTCGAAGGACGATTACGACAACTTTGCGACTCTATTGGGGACATGTAAGTGACTCAGGCTAAAATTGATTTACAATTGTCTTTTAAGAGAAAATTGTAAGTATAAATTATAATTTATCCTTTCGACCCTTTCTATTTACCTTTGATGATTATTTTTCGAATAAATAATTGTACTGATGTTTTTAATGATTTCATCTTTTTCAAAATTCATTCAATCTGAGGCTATATTCCCGAGCTCCAAAACTTTTTTAAGTAAAGGTGAAAGTGACATCTTCGTGGGAATTTATTCTCCGTATAGGCCTAGAAAGTAACCTTCGAGATTCATATACCTTATGTCTTCATGTCAATTTATTCTCCGTACAGACATAAGAGAATGTATCATCTCGAGTTTAACTTGGTCCATATAAGCTTGTAATGGGCTTAGGACTGAAGGTCTGGCATGCCCAAGGGGCACCAGCAAGGAGAACTTGAGTAACGTTTTTAGAACCAAACTGTGATACTGCAAGAAATTAGAGCCCACCCCAAAACTCCTTTTCAAAGCCTAGGATGTCTTGATTTATTTACTGCTTTATTTTCTATTCAAAGCATGTAAATTAGAAATATATGCAGTTAGGATTTGTTCAAGAAAATAACACGCGGGATAGAGATCATGTCCTGGTAGGAATAAAAACATGTGTGGTAAATATCATATGGGGTAGGAATTTTTATTTTATTATTATTTCTATTTTACTAACTTATTTCCTTTCATTTTTTTTATTTCCATCTTTTATCATTTGCATAATTTAAAGAGGTGTCGATCTACAAAAGTGTTCGTTTAAACCAGAATAGTTGACATTAATGTACAAAGGGGTTATAATGCAAGAGATCAAGAATACATAAGTACGAATATGGCCAGAGAAGACTCAGAAAGAAAAAAAGGGACAGTCTGTAAGACAACTATGTGTCAGACCTAGCTAGCTACGCTTCTATCAACCTCAAATAAAACGATACTCAGGAGTTACAGAATATTTGGGATAGTTGGAAAGTTGACAGGAAACATAAATTTTGCAAACGATACGGTGACATCATACACCTACTCTACTTCAAGATAAACGAACCCCTAATCCAAGCCCTGGTATAATTTTGGAATCTAGGATACAACTGCTTTATATTCAATCAAGAAGACATGGTGCCCACAATTGAGCAATACACCACCCTGTTACAATGTGAAGAAATCAGAATAGATTGGGTCTTTATCAAATATATCAAGAGTTAACCTTTCAAAAATGGATTGGAAAAGGTTGTAGGGGT